GTAAAATATATTAAAAGAAGGTAAATCGATAGTAAGCAAGAAAGAGGAGGCCGAAGGAAATGAGGGAGGGAGTGTGAGCAGCCAGGACCCAGGTCTCCATGAAATGCGTGCCAAGTTCTACCTCCCGCTAAGCGGTGCTGAGACCTTAGCACCAAGAGTAAAAAGTGTGAAAGGGCTTGGGTAAGTCAGAGAAAGACCGTGGGGGTGGGGGTGGGAGGTGCCCGGGAACAGGGAGAGGGGAGGCAGAGTGCCTAGGTAGGCTGTGAATCACCTCCAGAAGAGGGGCTGTGGGGCTGTGGACTCGGCACAAAGGGAACAAGAACTTGACCACCTTTAGGGCTGATATTCTGTGGGCTACAGAGAAGCGCTCAGATCCGTCACATCGGACATTTTTACAAAGTCTGGAAGACATACCCTACAGTGAAACCTCCACCTGTGCAAATGGCACTAAGCTCTCCAGGCACCAAGGTGCCAAGTCTACCGGGGTGGGAAGCCCGAAGATCAGCATGGCCCAGGTGGGTGGGCGCCAGATGATGGGGGCTCTTGGATCAAATACAGATTGCACCTGAAGATTCAGCTTTCGTCATCTTCGATAAAAGCACCTCCTGGGTTCTCAGGTTCAGGTAAGGGCACACGAGGTCGGTCACCCAGACAAAGCGCCCATCACAGATGACACAGTGGAGGACAGCACAGCCATCCACGAAGAAAACCCAGTGGGATCTATGAATGCTACTAGATCTTATAGGTGAGTTCAGCAAGGTTTCAGGATTCCGTGTGCAAAAGAATATACAAAAATCAGCTGTTTTGTCTTTAAAATATCAGCAATTTTCCCATATGCTCATATCCACTGGACCATGTTATTTTCAAACCTAACATGAACTGCAGAACAGTAGAAGGGGTAGAGCCTTTGAGATGAAATCAGTCCAGGTTAGAGCTGGGGAGATAGGGGGAGGGAGGCTGAGCACACAGGCTGCAAATCCTTCCCGCTCTCTGCGCCTAAAACAAAACTGAACCAAAGATTGGAAAATCGCTTGATTAGAGAATTCAGCGTCTCCCTCCAAACTGCCTGTGATTTTATTATTCAAGATAGCAAGAAGGAAAAAAGAAAGATAGCAAGAAGGACCTATTTCCTGGGGCAAGAAAAAGCTAAAATCCCGCAGCTGGTGGCCGTGATTCTGCAGGTGGGAAGGAGCAGGGAGTGTCCTGGCTCCTCCCTCCCGCCTCGGGCCTCTCCAGAGCCCCCCTCCGCGGATGCTGCCAGGCTACGGAGGCAAATCCTGGGCCCCAAGCCTTCCCACGACTGGCTCCCCAGGAAGACAGCTCTGTCCTTCCACAAACCCTTGCCTCCCATCTGTGACCCTATTTGGCAACTTCTGGTGACTTCACTTTTCACTCTTGGCTAAAAATGGGCCTCTGATGATTTATTCCATCCTGGGTGTTGACAAGCTCAAGAAGTTGTGTGGGGCCCGCTGCCAGGCACTCGCAGGAACAAGGCGTCAGTCAGCACTCCCGGGCCGGGCCGGTGGGGGCCGGAGGCAGGGCAGCGGCGGAGGGAACTGCGCGGCACCCCCGGGCCTGCTGCCCTCCCCTGGGAGGCAGCCCCGCTCCCCGAGATTCCGCGGAGGCACAGAGCCCTGGGCCCGGGGCAGGACAGGCATCCTGCAGGTCTGTGACATCTCAAGGCTGCTTCTCTGTGGGGCCGGCCAGCCCCAGTGCCCAATGCTAAGCGGCCTTTCAGAGAGCTCTGAGAGAGAGAGAACCCAGCCCTTTCGAATTCCCTCTGTTATGTGTTCACTAAGCATTAGCGCTTGGGGGAAAAAGTAAAAAAAATATATATATATAAGAAGAAAAGCCTTAGAGATCATTTAACTTCAGCTTCTGATTTTATGGAAAAGAACTGGAGACCCAGAGAGGTCAAGCACCTTGACCCAGGTCACACAGTGAGGTAGAAGGAGAGTGGGGACTAGAACCTGGGCCCTTGTCCCAGCCTTGGGCTCTGCTACCGACCGCGATTAGGGGCCTCCCGCTTGACGCCCCGAGAGGCAGGAGGCTGGGTGGCCTCCAGTCACAGGCAAGAAGGGCAATGCTGTGTGGCAAGACACCTTGGCCAGACTTGTGGCTTGCCCTTTGCTCCTCTCTCAGATGGGGCTCTGCTTGGCGGCCGGCCTTTTCCTAGCTTATGGGGACAACTGGAATCTTCGGGGCTCTGGGCTGAGCATCCCCCAGGCCCCACGCTGCACATGGACCCTGCCCTCCGCTTGAACATTTCTCAGGATGGGTAGTTCTTCTTCCCTCACTTACAGCCTCTCTGCGGCTGGACAGACCCAAGCAATAGAGATGACTGTCCCCGGAGCGGCACCAGCCACCCTGCCATGCCAGCTCTGTCCTCTAGGCTGATGCAGAGAAAGTGTTTCCCCTTCTCTGAGCTACAGCTTGTACCTTTGCTGGTGACTTACAGGGACAAGTCAAAACAGGCATAACCATTATAATCCTCCAAAAGCCGAGGGCCCTTGGGTGGGCTAGACCGAGCTCTTACTCAATCTTCTTTTCCCATCCTGCTAGAAAACTTGCCCCTCTCCCCTAGAGAAATTGAATAAGAAAGAAAGAGAAATGCCCAGCCTGTCCATTAGCTCCTTGCTAGTGATTCTGGTGAAAGGTCCAACTGGGAAGGAGGTTGAACCCACCCAAGGTGAGGTGCAGGGGCACCTGGGCTCTGCCATCATGAGCCTTTCTTCCTCTTGCTCTTATTGGTAAGTAGACCAGGATACTCATGAAAATCATTATTGTTTTTCTAAAGTCCACATTTGCCATGTCATTTCTTTTGGAAACTACAATTTAAAGTTAATTACATCAGGTCAAAAAAAATCAATTGCTTCATTATGCCAGGTGGTATTCCAAGGGATACACTAGTGAATGAAACCAAGTTCCTGACCCCATGAAGCTTCTGTTCTAGAAGAGAAGACAACAGAGTAATAGTTAAACAACATACATGACCTATGAGGGCAGGAGCTGACGTGCACCAAGAAGGAAAACAGAGTAGGGTAAGAGACAGAGGTGCTGGAACTGCTGTTTTGGGAAAAGAGGTGAGGGGAGGCCTGGGAGATGATAGTGGAGCAGAGACGGGAGTGGAGCAAGGATGCCTCCTGGAATATCTGGGGGAGGTGTTCTAAGATGAAGAACTGCAAGAAATCCATGATCAATGTGCAACTGGGATCCAGTAGAAAGAGTTCTAACCGACTTTCTGTCAAAGGAAATAATTTTCATACTAAATTTTGCCATAGCTGAAAAACTTCAACATGACATTACCTACGTTTAGCAGCCTTTAGCATTCATAGCCTGATTTCCAGTAGGTGGGACCACTGGTATATGAATGAACAGATCAAACATCTTACCTCTGTGGGCAGCTCCCTCACATATTATCCTTTTTAATCATCACCACAATCCCACAAGGTAGATGTTCTAATTCACAGCAATGTTACAGACTGGGAAACTGAGGCTGTGAGAAGTGAAGTGTCTGGAACATGGCAGAGCTGAGATTCATAGAATCTGGTGTCCTGTATGTGGTCCTGACTCAGGACATCAGTATGCAGGAGTGCGCCCTCTACAGAAACTTGTGGGGACTTCTCCTCCTTGAAATGTAGTATAGAGAAAAGTGCAAGGATTATCTGGGCTTGTAAATTTAACTTTGACCAGCACAATATCCAGTATTGGAGATCAATATCTCTGTGACAGTGTGGCAGAACACCACTCAGCTCTCCTTCAAGGGGGACTGCCAAGGGCAAGAGTTACCTGACAGCCCCAGTAAGGGCCCTAAAGACCCACCTGCCTGTTGGGGGTAAGGTCACACACCTCCCCAGGGCTGCTCCCAGCCAATGGCAGATTGTGGCAGTGAGGGCACAGTGCTGCCCATCCTCTTGACACAGCTGCCTCCAGCAGGCAGCATTTGAGCTCAGGGACTCCTGCTGGCCTAGCTGAGACCCTCTCAGAAAAGTATGGCCCTGTCTGAGCTCTTTCTCCCGCTCTTCCTTCCCTCTCTCCTTTCCCAGGTGCCAGACTGGCATTGTGGTCCTTCCCTGCCATCTCTAGCCACCTCCCCTTTTCTCCTTCACAGGCATGTCCCCCAACAAACCTCTTGCATGCCCAAGCTTATCTAGTGAGTGCTTCCCAGAGAGTCCACTATGACAATTTCTAACTTCAGTAGTTTTGTCTTACTTCTTTATAGGACTACATTATAAGTTCTTTATATCTTTGTCTTTCTGGACTTGAAAAATCAAAGCAAAAAGAAAAAAAAGAGAATTTGTCAGCTATTAGTGTTAGACTTTTGGTCTCATTAATGGTCCATTTTCACAGAAACACACTGAAATCCTGAACTCTTACTGCTGTTAACTGAGGTGAGGCTTTGGCCTGACTTCTGGCAACAACCTCTTATTTTAGCAGCTTCCGATCTGCTTTCACAGGTCCTTGTCCAAGATAAACACTTCTGGGCTTTGTTTCCAGACTGTGAATTCCAGCTTAGAGTTAATCAGTGCTGTCAATGCTTATTCCAAAGTCTCTAAGCGTTTATAGAAGGTTGCTGGGGTGCTGTAGCCAAATGTGGGGTCTGAACCAGCACTATTCAACAGAAATATAATGTGAGCCACATAGGCAATTTCGTTTTCTAGTAGCCACACTTGAAAGAGGAAAAATAAACAGGTAAGATTAATTTTAATAATATGTTGTATTTAACCCAATATAGCCAAATTATTATATCAACATGTAATCATATTTAAATGAGAGTTTTTTACATTTTTTTCATACAAAATCTTTAGGCAAACCACATTTCAAGTGCACAGTAGACACATAATGCTGGTGGCTACGATATTGGACCATGCAGGTTCAAGCATTCCAGAGTCTGAGAAATAATATTTGATTGCAGAGTGGAGACAAACTGTTTTCTTAGCGCTCCTCTATACTGGCTCCAGGTTCCCACCCACCCCAACCCCAGTGAGGAATTTGTCAAATCATCATCCAAGGGGATTTTTATTCAGAACATTTTTTTCTTGTTTGCTAGGAAGTAGAAAACATTCATTTGAAATAAAATATTTCTGGGATCGAGTTCTTAGGCATACGTTAGATATCAGCTCCCACAATTATTTTAAATAAATCTTTGTAGCTAGAGAATAAAGAGTGCAAAAGCATGAGGCCATTTTCTTCTCCCAAACGTGTGTGATTCTGAAAGCTCTAGCAGTTTCCATTATGTGACTTTGATTTCTTCAACTGCCATCCCAGAGTAACCATCTGCCACCCTCACCTGGCAATTTACAAGCCCAGCAGAGACCACCATGTTCTTGACTACTGTAAGAAAACACTATGATGCTCCAATTTTTTAAAAACTGGTATCATACATTTAATACCTCCTTCATGGGAAGCAAATACTACAGAAGTATTTGCCTGTTCATTTGCTTACTTAATTTTCAACCTTATTTTCTGCATTTTACAGTTTAAAGAAATTGAGTTTCAGAAAACTAACTTGCCCGACACCACATTGCTAGTCATTCTACAACCCTTTAAAAGTTGGCATTAGGAGACCAATAAATATTCTGAACCAATTTACAGTGTTGATGGCACTGTAAATTGGTTCAATCTTTTCTGAGATTAACTTGGCAATGTTTAACAGGTTATAAAATGGTCTATGATTTTTTATACAATGATACTGGAATTTATCCTAAGGGAATAAATAAAATATACATGCACATACTCATACACTAACTTGTACAAAGATGTTTATGACAGAAAAATCTATGATAGTGAAAAAAAATTTAACACCCTGAATTTTCCCTCATTTAGCAAACATTCATTGAGTACCTTCTATGTGTCAAGCACAGGTCTAATACCAAAGATTCAGTGGTGGAGAAAAAAATAAATGGACAAAAATGAGCCTTCTTTTCCTGGGGAAGTTTCACACATAAATATCATAGCAGTATAACAGAAGAGTGGATAATGAGAGCCATATACATAATCTTAAGCTGTCCAGAAGCCATTTTAAGAATCTAAAAAGGGAAAAAAGAAATTATTCATATATATATATATAATTATAATTATGTGTATATAATTATTCAATATATCCAAAATACTATCTCAATATATAATCAACATAAGAAACTAAGATATTTTGCATTTTTTTCATGCTGTCTTCAAAATTCAGTGCATATTTTACACTTACTGCACACCTCAATTTGAACACCAAATTTTCATCAGAAATAGTAGATCTATCTTTAGATTCAATAAAATATACCATTAAAAAAGTAGATTCACGGAAGTATTCACAGAGTATTTCAAACATACTTAAAGGTTTCTCAGTCATTCAGTTGAATCTTAAAAATAATTTTCTTTAAATTTTTGCATCCATATTGACCACAACAGTTCATCTTTTTTTCAGGAAGAATTGATTTGAATTTGGAACAAAAAGCGTATCAGTTGCAAAACAACTTTTGCCAAATTAAGTACATTCACTAACTCTTGGGTCCGTTCAGTCTTACCGATGTGAATTCAAAAGAATATTACATGAACTAAAAAGCAACTCTGGTTTATCAATATCAGAAAGTATCCTTCAAGTTTTTCTTAGAGTTTTTCCAGCAAATTTACATAACACTGTTGAGTACAATTAAAATCTTCTGCCATTGATTCATACAGAAAAAAGATATAAAATTGTTATCTTTGGATTATGAAAAGTTTCCATTTCAACACTGATTCTTCTGCCTATCTAACTAGGTCCCAAATAAGATTTCCCTGTACCTGGAACCTCAAATTTAGCTTGTCCACATGCAGTGGAATATCAGTGAGAAAACAGAAATCACACTGCCATTTTTTGTCTTTGAGTATTGACCATTTGGTCAAACAAAAAAATATTTGTTTTGTTTCAAGAAGTTAGACTTGCCAGTACAGTAAATCTTTGTAAATCTCTTCCACAACTCAAACAATGAGCATTGGTAAATAACATTAAATTTATTAAATCTACTGTCTTCTATTTCTTTTAACAGTTCTATTAACTGTGGATGATTCATAGCATTTGTGCATCTATCCTGAACAGTATCAACAGTTCCATCCATGACACTCTTCATAGCATCTTCTTAAGAAAACTGAGCTCAAATATTTTCAGCATGTATTACACAGTGATGAAGCAATCAGGGCAACATCAGTCTCTTATTTTTAAATTTTAATAAATCTGGATTTTGAAGCTGATATAACTGGATCACAGTACATCATGATAGAAACTACTTTTTCTTCATATCTAGATGGAATCCTTTGATCAATATAAAAGATTCAAAAATATTCATGCCTTGAGTTCAACTTTTCAGGCCACAAATTGAAATTTCTTTGTAAATGTGGAAGACCTTTGGAAAAAGTTATCTAAGTGCTACTATACCAGTCAATGATAGCTTCTGCATCTCCACTCCATTTTGTATCCTTCATTTTAAATTAAATGTTTGTCCCTACTTACTTTTTCACTAGAAAAATAATTTAATGATATTACAATGAAAATAAATACAATAATGTAAGAAGTTTTAATAAATGTAATTATAATTTTAAAAAAATGAAATCTTGCCATTTGCAACAACATGGATGGACCTACAGGGGTCCTATGTTACATAAAATCAGCCCAGCAGAGAAACACAAATTCTGTATGGTTTCATTTATATGTGGAATCTAAAAAAACAAAACAAATGAACAAAACAGATACAGACACACAGACATAAGAAGAAACAGGTGGTGCCATGGGGGAGTAAAATAGGTGAAGGGGATAAAGAGGTACAAAATCCCAATTATGATTAAATTGGATATGGGGTTGAAAGTACAGAATAGGAAATATAATCAATAATATTTCAGTATTATATGTTGACAGCAGGACTCCCCCACTGTAGCTCACTGGCTCTGCTGCAAATCCACCCATGTCATGGTTCTTCCAGCATGGGGTCTTGCACCATTGGTGCCAGAAATCCAGAAAACTTACATAGAATCATCCATGATCCCTGGGCCTATGTACACCTGAAGAGATCACATCCCATGGATAGTGCCAAAGTTTGCTGCTTGCACCTATCAGTGGGATGGCCACCATGGCCCATGCTGCATAGGGGCCTGATAGAATTGGATTTTGGCTGCATAGAAGCATGGACCAGAGCATGGGGAACAAAGCCCATGATGTATTGTCACAATGACAATGTGATACAAATTCCTACAGGCACTGGTGGCACCTCCTTTAAACTCTTGGTGGAGGTAGCCATGCCCTCACCCATTTCACTCTGTGCCTGTGATAGAAGTGACATCCCTGATCATCTCTGAATCACCTTCAGTTTATTCTTGCATTGTCCAGAAGAATAGCACTTGGATTTTATTGGATAGCTGATACTTAGAAATTCTTTTCAAAGGATCACTTGCCCTCAGCCTTACAGTTCTCAGATTTTGAAATATGGGTAGGCTGAGGATTTGCAAATCTTTAAGTTCTGCTCCACTTTTGCTTAACAATTTCATCTTTAAGTCACTTCTCTATTCTTGCATTTTATTATAAGCTATCAAGAGGAGCCAAAACCTAACATACAACATTTTGCTTAGAAATTTCCTCAGCTAAATATCCAATTTAATTCCTGGAAAGTTCTCCCTTCCATAAGCATAGAATGTACACACAATTTAGCCAAGTTCTCTACCAGTTTATAACAAGGATCACCTTTTCTATATTAACCTTTGATCAATATAAAAGATTCAAAAATATTCATGCCTTGAGTTCAACTTTTCAGGCCACAAATTGAAATTTCTTTGTAAATGTGGAAGACCTTTGGAAAAAGTTATCTAAGTGCTACTATACCAGTCAATGATAGCTTCTGCATCTCCACTCCATTTTGTATCCTTCATTTTAAATTAAATGTTTGTCCCTACTTACTTTTTCACTAGAAAAATAATTTAATGATATTACAATGAAAATAAATGCAATAATGTAAAAAATTTTAATAAATGTAATTATAATTTACATAAGAATCACTATAACTCATCTGCATAAAATGTTCACGTAAACACAAAGTTACATTAGTTACAAAGAAAAAAAAGAATTCAAATGGAATCGATCACCTGATACCTACTACATGGGTGCAGTGTTAGTGGGGAGACTACGGGAAGACCTCATGTGATGTAATCAAAGGTCCTGCTCAAACAACAAAGTTGTGTTTAACAGAAAAACAGTTTATAATGCTAAAGCTTTTAAGTTAAATTAGGTTAAGTTAAATTAATGACTCCATCCCTCAGTCACTCTGGTCCCATTCTAAGCGCTCGGTAGTTCCATGTGACTTGCCTCAGACAGCAAAGCCCCAGTGGGGGACAGGGCAAGGGTCCAGACCACTGGACATCTTCAGAACTGCCTCTTGTTTCCTTAAGGTTCCATGAGTTTAGAGGGGAGAGAAAGCATTTGGGGCTAGGCTCCTGGCTGCCCCCTTCACTTCAACCAAGGTGGCTCCACTTTTATCTCTTTCATTTATTGAATCTTCACATAAGATTTAGTTGAAAGAAAGTGTTCCGGTGTTGGTCCTTCTTTAAGGCTTTGAAGACTTTGGTCCTCCATTTCCTTGCTTCACAGAGTGGTGAATCTAATGTTGGCGCTCCCCTAGAGCTGGCTAGAAATGCAGGTTATCACGCCCCATTCCCCGTGATTCATGTGCACGTTAAAGCTTAAGAAACAGTGGGCTACATGGATTTTTCAAACGCACGATCTCTTTTCCCTAGGACTCACATGCACAACACGCTAATGAGAAAGTAGCCCGTCATGAAACTAGAACCAAAGTCTGGCACTACAGAAACCATCACCAGGCAGGAAATGCGGCCGTCAGCATCTCCCTTCCCCAGCTCTGCCCCTGTGGTGCTCCTGGACTCTGACAGCCCCAGCACTCCCCGCCCACCCCTGCCGCGGCGGTGCCTGATGGAGCCCAGGAGCACTGCCTTGAAGCCGACGCTTCCGTGACATGGTGGAGAAGGTATGCTTAGTAGTTAAATGAATAAACCCTGGCGCCAAATGGAGTGATTTTAAGTCCCAAATCAACCAATCTCTAGTTCTGGGAAAGTTTCTTAGTTTCTTAGGGCCTCAGTTGCATCATCTTTAAAATGGGGATAATTATCGAACGTACCTAAAGGGCTGTTACAATGATTAAATGAGTTAATGTGGGTAAGGCATTTAGAATAACAATTGGTACATAAGTACATAGAAAGTTCTAGACAAACAATATAAAAATCGAACCTCTGCAAATGTTCCCCAAGTTTTAATATGAGGATAGGAAAACTACTCCCAGCACTTCCCCTAAATAATTTTCTCTCTCTGGGAGTGGAAGTTTTATCTGCTATAAATGACTCCTAAGGGGTGTTCAAAATATGTTTGTTGAATGAACGTGTGCCTCAATAAACAGAAAATTGATCAGAATGGAGGATGTGATGTCTGCACAAGCTCAGAATTCCAGCATTTTCCTACAAGTATCAGAATCCCCACTCCTCCCTGTGAACTTGGCTTCATTTTGTTGTTTGTCTTTCCCTCCAGGATGTTCACCCAGAACATTCCAGAATCATTTGAGTGTAACCTTAGTAAGTGCTTCTCATAATAGAAGAGATCCCAAACCGACAGCCGGCGAAGCTCCTAGCATGAGCAAGAGCGAAGCCAGGGCTGTGTATTTATATAAGATTAGGAGATTGGAATACACAGTGAAGAACCAATACAAAATTGAAAAATGTAAAAAATAATGTCTATCATTTTGCTGGAGCCCTAATGTCCCTATATTAAAAGAGCTTTCATTATTTCTTCTCGATTCTTCTGTAAATGCTCTGGTCAAATTCCTCTTTCAATTTCCACTAATGGATCCATAATGGCTAAGATGAGAGGAATCTCTCTTCAGCATAATGCCCCCAGGTCTCTGAGAGCATGCACCTTGCCTCATTCCAGAAATCTGATGTCAACTATAATTCGGAGGAAAAATGGGGGAATACTCCTTCTTGTGTATACAACCCATTTTGAACCATGGCT